AAATATGGCTCAATCCACGAGCAGTGTTACTTCTGCGGTGCAATTAAAGGCGACGCAACGCAAATGCCCCTTAGGATACACCGCGGGGAAATGCGGCGTAGCTTTACTCCATAACGTCTGCCCTCCTGGCAAATGGACATTGGTGAAACGACTTTGCTTTTGCCAATATCGATTTTCGCGATGGTGGCAAAGGCGAAGTCGTTGATCCCGCCAGCTGCGTAGGTTGTTGGATTGGAGTGCGCTTTCTTCCTTCAAGAACCTGCATCGTTACTATTCTTGCTCCTAAAAGGAGAGGAAGAGTTTTGTTGGAGCCAAAATGTTACGCAAACTTGATGTAGAACAGTCTTATGTAGAAATATTGAAAGACTTATGTGAAGTAGAACTTTCGCCTTCCTCAGGTGGGCATTAGGTGGGCAATTGCCCCGCTCACCTAATTTGAAAAAAAGTTAAGCTCATTCTGTGGTAGTGGGAAATTTTCAGAAAAAAGCTTGCCACAACCTTCAGTCACATAATTTTCCACGAAACTTTTCACTCATTCTATAGGCTCGTGGCCATGTATGTACCAAGTTTCGTACCATATCGCCTCCTGCGCTTTGCAAACGAGTCATTTTAATTCACATCCCCATTCGCAAACTGGTACACCATCAATCACATAAAACCTGCTGCATGACGAAGGCGAGGAAGCAGTATTAGTTGAGCGGGCGCGAAAGCTGGCGCGCGCATCTTCACCGCTATAAATCTCGCGCCTTATGCGCTCTGCGGCTAATGTAACCGCGTTCGTGCCCGAAGATATTGCGCCTTCGTCATGCAACAGCCTATAAGTTTTTCATAATCGTACATACCTTGTCCTCATTAGCCTATGTCCGTTCATTCACGCAATTCAATGCCATATCGTTACGCATACATTGAGAGGTAGTCATAGTTCTAACTTGCAACGGTTAAGCGACGTCGCGCGTGCGGCAATCAGCGACGGCGCGATTTGACGCGCGCGAAAGCCAATTTACGGGTAAGACCTCAGGTTGTTTGCCATTTAACCTATCACAGAAACGATACCCCCTTTGCTTTATTCGCCCAAAACGATTTTCAGCTTGTAATTTGCCCACCTCGTGCCGGGCCCGGTAAAGGAACATTTTGCATACAACTTTTTCATAAATTCACCACCTACATGAAGGTTTAGCGCTGCACATTTGAAATTGTAAGGGCCAAAGTTTCAATAAAGAATTGGAAGAAGTGCTGGAAAAGCTTCATAAATTCAGCACATTTTATCTCATTGAGGTATTGCATCTGATTTTGACACTTGCCAACATCAAAATCTTTGTCACTATTCTCTGTTTCATCAAATGCACTTCAGGCGGTTTATCATCTTTCCAATTTCTGATCGGGTGTTGTTTTAAAGTCAAAAGCAAGCCTCCGACTAGGGATGACAATCAATTCGTGATTCATCCATGCTCAAAGGCAGCGTCCAAACAGATTTGAGCCGGGGGTCTCACTTGGAGGGTAATCTTGGAGCCCTGCATAAGCGGTGAGCTCACAATGAGATATTCACCTCCAAACTGGACTCCGGGATCGCGTGCGCATGGATTCATGGCGCACATCAGTTTCGCGCGAGGACCGACGCGTGTCATGAATCCATGCGAATACGATCCCGGGGTTCAGTTTGGAGGCGAATATCTCAACTATGAGTTCACCATTTGAGCTGCCGCTTGGGTAATGTCTTAGTTAGGGCCCCAAAATTGCTTTCCACATCAGAACACCGCATGTCCAGATTTGTCTGGACGTTGCTTTTAAGCGCATTGCCTGATCCGGCGGCAGTGCCTGATTTCTCCATATCGGTCACTGTTCACTTTTCCAGTTCGATGTTCAGAAATTGTCAGAGCGGACCCATCCTGCAAGCAGAACTCGAATAAGATTGTTCTATTGAAACAGTTTTCTTGAGGCTATCTTACATAACTACATGACGCATCTACAGGCCGAAATCAAACTCATAGAAGTTTCAAATTGTGTCGCAAGTTGGGGTGGTGGCAACTTTCCACAGTCCTCTTTCATAGCACCTGCGGCTGGCGATGCGCGTACGCAACGACGTAAATTGGCAACAAGTGAGCAAGTTTTCAAATTATGTCGCACATTGGCTTGGTTGCAACATTCTTCACCGCTCTTTTATAGAAATGGCGGCTTTCAACGACCGTCGTACGCAAAGACGTAAATTGGCAACAGGTGAACAGGTAGGTGTAAATTATCTTTGCTTGTTCTTGGCCTTGTTTTTATGGCAGGAAAAAGGACAGTGAATTTTTTATGGTTGGAAAGGTTTCTTTTTTGATGTGCAGATCAAACACGATATGACATCGATAGAAATCAGAAGCGAATTCGAAAAGCTTAGACTTCCTTCTAATGAACAATATGACAAACTTGTGTTGAGGCGACCGGCGCCAGAAAAGTGCGTCAGGAAATTAAATTTCTAAAAATGCCTCGGAACTTTCTTCACAACCTAATTAGGTCGTCCCAGAAATTCGTTCGCATCACTTTCAAAAATTCATTATTTTATTGTTTTCGGAGAATTTGCTTAAATGTTTCAGAAAGCGAAAATCATACCGCATTATATTGGTATCAAAATGGTCTTCGATAAAGCATCATGACTTATTATAAGCGGCTTAATCTGAAGTTGTGTGGAGTTTGTCCGTTACGAAATTACAGTGAGGAATGATTTAAGATACTAAACATCATGTGAGGTTAAGATAGCGAGTATGGTTCATTTTTAACTACGGCTCACGTTGCAATAAACCGAACAATGATTTGAGAGGCAAACTCTCAGAAAGTAAGTTTACCACGGTTCACGATGCCAATGCGAACCTCTGCGAAGCAGAGGTGAAGCACTGGTACATTATAAAGATATAAGCTGTAGAAAAAACTACTCAGATTTCGATTTTTTTGCGTAGAGTCGTCAAGAATCTGAGTGTTGCACTAAAAACCGGGATAGAGTTGATAAGTTTTAGAATTTGCTTTCACTGCTCCGATTCAGTTCATTCATTTATGTGTGAAGGTCATCGTTCGAAAAAATAAGAAGTTATGAGTTTTTGAAAATGGTGCGAATGAACTTCCGCGAGACGTCTTAATCTAATGAAGAGAAATGCGGCGTCGTACTTCTAGTTGTTTGTCTATCCTCTTGTTTCTTTCAACGATGCTATTAGTAAATAATTCGTCCACTGAAAATTTTTTTTGACGCAACTGTCTTGCACTCCATTGAATTCTACGAAAAAAGAAACTCGTAAAATTTTGTGGAAGAGAGCTCGTTCTAATGTCATTTTGATTATTATGAATGTCAGAGCCCTAATTCATATTACCAAACTAGCTGGCTTACCCGGCTCCGCCGTATGTTCCGAATAGAAAATTCCATTTCTTAACCGATCCGGAGCAAACTTGGCACACATACACTTCGGGCCCCGGCGGGTGTCACAGTCCACTCGTTACCGATCGATGTCGATTTTATCGATTTTTTGCAAAATTTGAGCTAGGGTGCTGGAATTTGGCAGAGGGGTGTGTAATCGAGCATGCTGATCACCCCCACGGGGGTGACATACAGACAGACAGACAGACAGACAGACAGACAGACAGACAGACAGACAGACAGACAGACATACAAACAGACATTCAACTTTATATATAAGATAGGGAAATCCTCCCAACGATAAAAATTCAACAACTTTGCCTTCTATAATTTTTCGCACTAGGAGAAGAAAACCGACAAACTTTGCAGAGATTTAAAAAAAGAGTCTGTGGCCCACATTTTAAAAATTCGCCAAACTGTATGGGAAAAGAGGAGAGTTGAAGTTCTTTATCTGAATTGGGGCAATTTCAGTGTGCAAGAAATGATTTTTCAAAGTTTTTAAAACTTTTTGCAAGCGGCATCCCAAAATCTGTAAAACCAATGAAATAAGCGTATCTAAAGACAAATTTTCTTTCGTAGCAAACACTATGTTTCCATGAATGGATCATTTTGCTCGAAGTTAAGCAGCCAGAAAGTTTTTTTTGCAAGTGTCCGGGAGATTTCTTTCAACCTGGTAGCTAGCGCACTTTTTGTATGAGAAGTTACACAGCATCCTCGATTGCATTTTCTATCGTTTGACAAATTTGTTTTCAGGATGCTGATATTGCACAAAAAAGCAAAGGAGTCATCCAGCTTTACTTGCAAGTGCCGTCTACCGTACCCTCATTTGACAACTGTCCTATTATTAAGGTTGAATACTTCATTGAAGTAAGGAGAGCTTCTTTATCTTAAGTTGTGAGAAAAAATCACTACATTTCAGGTAAAGCTTACAATTACAGGTTCAATCAATAGTAAAATTGAGGTGGAAATCCCAATAGTGATTGGAACGGTTCCCGTAAGAGGAACATATGAGGACGGTGTGCCATCAACATCAGCTTCTGCTCCTCCAGAAAAGGAGGAGGCGATGCCTCCACCCTACCTTGACGGTGCGTATTTGAATTGCTCGTTCTTGGGCGAAAAGCTCGATTGTTTAGGCGACACCGTACCACCCAGTTATGTAGAGTCAGTCAAAGGTGTAGAAGGCACTGTTGTGGACATGGAAAACATGGAGGTAAAGTACGACAAATTACAATTGCAGTTTCTCTTACGCACGGTTACGCATGTGCAGCGCCTCCTACCCTAGTAAAGTCGATTGCACGAAATCGCCCGGATCGCTATAGGCTGAACGCACAAAGCGTGGCTGCAACGCGGCCGCCGAGTATGGGCGCCGTGATGACTCATGCGCGCAAATGCCAGTGCTAGCCCGCAAGGGACACGCTCGCGGGCGCACGCTTAGCTTAGGTGATTCCGTGCAGTCAACTATAATCGATTTAAAGCAATCAGGAATTCGTTTGTAAATGCTTTCGCTACTGCAATTTCTATCCCGCCATTTCAGCCTTTCGTCCCGCGATATCCATTCTACCCCAACTTGCGCCGATCTGACGATGGTGACCTTCCAGATAAAGATGTTCACTTCTAACGTTATTCCTTAAGATTGTGCTCATATATATGTATATAACATTATAAATAAAAATTGGGATTGATTTGATAGATTGAATCATATTCATGAGGTTGCAACGAAAAAAATTATGAACTGGAAACCGAAGAAATTTTGTTGAGACTCCATTTCTAACTATTCGTAACCAGGGCTCGGTAGAGGCGGCTTTCTGAAAATGCTCAAAAACGAAGTCCCTCTTGACTTTCGCAAAATTGTAGAAAGTCCCCTTTGACCCTGAACTCTAAATGTGAAAACCCTCAAAAAACGGAACGTAGACTGAAAACGTAATTTTTCCCCTTTGCTTTCCGTCCCAAAAACGATATCCAGCTTGCTTATAAACCACCTATGCCGAGCCCTAATCGTAACTCCCTCCGAGTTTTGCCCAGTGCCTGTTTTTAGCTTAATGTGGGGTTGCACTGATACGATTGTAAAAAGGGCTCGAAATACTTCTGCAAAAATAGAAAAATTCAAGTTAGCTTCTTTAGGTTTTTTTCTCAGTAATTGAATGGCCAGGTTACGTAAAATTTCTGTAACAGCTGTGTTTGCAAAAAAATGTCGATGAAATGCTTACAAAAATGGACGCGGATTTGGCAATAGTTTTCCATTTAAGATTTCTCGAGTTTAATAAGTTTATCAGTCATCGTTACAACACTATGAAGATGATTTGGAGAATTACTCTGACGGCTTTCTAATGAACTGACGCGCACGAAGTTGTTATCATAATTAGAAGAGTCATCAAAACGATGTACAGGGCGCCAAAATCACCGGTACTAACATTACAAACAGTGCCACGTGGAAACCACTGAGAGATACAAGCTCAAATTTAGGTCAGAGAAAGCACTAAACAAACTCTACAAAATACATTTTACGCAACTCAAGAAGACCTCTTCTCAAAAATGTGAGAATTAGAAGAATCAGACCAGCGTTTTGAAACAAAGAAAAAATGGAGTTTTCATACCTTCATGATTTCCTGTGCAAATGAATATACTAGCCTTTTTCATTCCGATCTGAGGTTGTAGAGAACAATTTGCACTATCACACAGGTTCAGTTGTATTTGCAGGAATTTGTTCCATCAATCACGAAAATGTGTTTGCAAAAAAAACCGCGTAAGTAATGACCTTACGTTCAAAGCGATTGTGAAACCTCAAACGCGCAAAACCTTCTGGTACTCTTAACAGTTCTCTTATGCATGCAGAAGAGTATCCATCCTGACCGGTTAGTTAGAGCAATTTTAAATCTGATTTAGAAGACATTTTCTTATTCCAAGGCGTACTCAGGAGGGCCAAAATTACATTGATTTTCGGTATGCTGCCTCACAAGAATGTTTTTGAAAAATCACCCCTTTTCAAATTAATTTTCAAATTTCCACACTTGGCGGTGTTAGAGAAAAAAGCTGCTCTACTTTAACACTCATTTTCAAAACAAGAAAAAAGGTTTTCAAAAAAAACCGTGTAAATTCTTAAAGTTGTGCTTGCCTACAGAGCACACTTCAGCTGGGAAAAGGATATTACCAGGGTTGAGCGTGGGGTCAGGCGCGCCCGACCTGGAGGGTCGTACTGGGGGTAAGAGCAAGGTGGGGGGGGGGGGGGGGGAGGGGGTAATCAAGAAGCGAATTTATTCAAAAAATTGGGGAAATACTACGGTCGAGTAAGGTGAAGTGAATAGCATGCTGATTAACTTGACTGATGAAGACTCACCCAAATTTCAATTCTTCACCTTACCTTACACATACCGTAAGGTAAGATGAAGATTTTACCAAAGAAGCTTTTTGTGTGAATTGGGTATGATTTCCATACTCAGAATGCAAAATCACCTAAACGAGCCTTGCAAACCATTACCTATGACATTTTCTAGTGTTTTCTAGAGTATAAAAAGCGTGATTTTGAAATAGGATTAACTTGGTCACAAAAGTAAAATAAGTCACCTTTTTTGCATTCTTAAGTATGAGTAATACTATCAGTCTATGGTAGAAATTAAACTTCATATCGCTTTCAAATAATGGATTAAGTAGTGCTACCAAAACGTTAGTCACCGCGTTTGTTTTCTAACTCGAGTACTTCAACTTCACCGATCACCACAAAGCCAAAACAAGTCGAGGTAAACTCAAACATCTATCGCAGAATTATCGAGGTTTATGCTAGCGAATCATATAAAACTAAGGTGGAAAAGCTTCTTCGGTGATAAAGTTAATCGGGTTAGGCGCAACCCCTCTGAAGGTCAGGCTGCCTGAGCTTTTAAGGGGTTGCGCCTGACCGCTCAACTTGCCTTCAGAATCTGAAAATCGCTCCATTCCTTGTATGGATATTGAGCTCATAGCTTCTTCTTACTACAATGGAAACTTGGAGCCGAACGCCTCACCCCTAGAAAAATTATGACCCTTTCAATAAGCCCATTCAGAACAAAATCAGCCTACAAGTTACGTGCGATTGTAAAGTGCAGTCACAGAAAATCGGGCGTACAGTTCTCAAAAATCTGACTCTTTAGAAAAGGAATGTACTCCAGAATGTCACACTCTGAGCTTCTGGAGGTCAAGAGAAGGATGAAGGGTCGTTTGAGGGTTTTTAAAGGCACCGTCCACCCAAATTGGGGTTGATGAGATTTGATACCTTGCAACTGCGGGGCCCCCAAGTGTATGATTGCCCAACTCGTGCTGCCTAAAGTCGTTTACAAAGAGAGAATGCTTCGGAAATCGCTTCAGGTAACGGTTCGCGACGTTGGCTCCTCCCTCTCGGGAGGAGCCAACGTCTCGTACCTAGGTTTTGTTTTGAGAAAATTGTTCTGCATGACACAGTGGCGTCGCATGTTGACACCAGCAGTAGTTGATAGAAAAGTTGCAATTTTTACTTTGTGAAAACTTTGACATGTAAACTTCAGCAATGGAACGGCATTCCGAATCATAAAACATGCGTATTAGTAAGACCCCTTTCAAGCAATAAGCATGAAACCTAATACGGTAGATTGCCTAGCGAAAGCATTTCTCGTGAGGAGACGGCCCTTCTGAACCCACCGTCTACTACAGTAACCCAGCTAGTGGGACGCGGGCGCCTGCGCTGCGGCCATTGCGGACGAGTCTACTGCGGCTTTATTTTCGAAAGTCTCCAGCACACCTCGAGGTGCGCTGAAGACTATAATATTCAGATCTGAACGCAGGGATTATCCTCAGCTTATCCAGTCCCATTTCTGTAAAGCTGCTTTTCGCTGCATTTTGCTATTCTACGGCCTAACTTTATCCTGATCGTATCAATCAGGTTTGTTTCTAAAAACGTGGTTTTGAATTTCTTGAGTAATTATATGAATAGTTTTCTCATCTCATTTTGATTACTTTTGTTGCCACATTTTGTTTGCGTGCATCATTTCTGCTTCATGCATTGTCACATGTTTGAACGTTGTGAATTGCATGATGCGTCGAAAGGAAAGCACACTCGAACCGACCCACAGTTCAAAGTACAACAGATAGTTTTTCTATGAACTCTGGACGATACCTAATAATTTATATGTTAGTTTCCTTTACAAAACTTTTGCTTAATATCAAGGCATCTGTTTGGTATGTCTGGTTTTTTTGCGCAAACGCTGCACTCATTTCTCGCTAATTTTTGGGGTTGTGCATGGAATTTTGAATATTCATAAACCACTGCTTGTAGATCAAATTTTTGAGCTAGATTCTACTTCTTAGCTTTCTGAAGCTCACGAAACAGTGATATCCGATATTCTCCTTCATGCTTAAAACTAGGTTCAAAACTGATAAGTATTTGTATGAATTACGTAAATATAATTATGCAACCGCTGTAATCGGCGCAGAATCAAGATGTTGGCAACAAAATGCACTGAGAAAAATCTCGGTTTTCGCGTTATCTAATCAAACCAAAACGTGTGTTTTCCTCGCAAGCTTCGTTTAGTTCACATATACAGATGAATGTGACGATACACGATGCAGCAAGGATTGCACACATGGAGTAAAAAGAGTTACCAGCACTCACCTTACTCAAACAAAAATAGAGTACTTCAGTAGTCGAAGCAAACATATCCCACAGTTTCCGTGATTGGCAGCACGTCAGTCTAGTGGTAGCAGCGAGTTTATTAGGTAAGGCAGCAGAATAGCAGCATTCGGTTGACATCATGCGTCTACGACATCTCCGTCAAGGGTCTGGAAGAGGGAGTTCATTACTGAGGAACTCTCCTTTCCGCAGCGCATCTGCTTAGGTAAACCGCTCGCCTTATCAAAACAGCCAATTAAGACGTGACCTCTGAGACGCGCTGACCTATCGTAGCCATCGCAATTAGAGCGAGTTCAGGAGGGCCTACACCCTTTCTCTTGTTATGCACTGCAGTTGGATACTGTATTAGACGCGTTGAGCCGTTGATAATTTATTCAAATACGGTCTTTTATACACACGGCGTACATGCCGAAGCTTCGCTAAGATTAATACAATCACTAACACAATAGTACGGAAACACATCAATGCGCTGCGCATACCTTCGATAGTCTAGAGACAGGGCGCCAAAAGTGAAGGTTGTTTGAACATCTGACGTCATAATTAGTGAAGGTTGTTTGAAGAAGATAGAGAAGAAAAAGTGACGTAAAATAGATATAAAAAGCAAGAGAAACTGCTGAAAACCAGATAAAAATGCTGCAATAAGGTTTGAAATCTTTCGTTTGGCGGCTTTTTTAAGTGCAAGTTTTCGCTTCAAGACCAGCAATTCGCAACACGGGGTTTTGATTTTTGATGCGTCCAATAAATTTTTACCCTCGCGCCGTCCCTCTTGTACCCTGCGACGTTGTCTGGATTCTTCCGCTCATCATTCTGAGCAAGTATCGTCCAAGCTGGAGAAAATTCGTTGCGAAACCACTGAAAAAGAATAAGGTAAAGAAAAACGCATTTTTTTGTAATTTTCACAAAAAAAACCGGCATAAGCAGAGAAATAAGCTCGGCGACGTTGTCTACATTATAGACAGAAACAAGACCTATCGACTACACAAAAA